AACCTAACATCGAAGAACGACGGCCGAGCTCAAGGGAGGGGGTTGCGGCGTGAAGGTCGGAAACGTCGACCCACAAAGATGCGTGCAATCCTGCTTGGCTGTTTGAACTTGTTCAATGCAATTGGCTGCTGCAGTGGTGATTCTCCACTGCTACTGTATGGTGAGGTGATGCAGATGTTTCGGTGGGTGAGCTGCATCGCGATGTCATTGCACAAGCACGCAGCTTGAACGTGTCAAACATGCTTCTTGAGCCGAGAGCAGAACACATTCACAGGGACTTGAACTCTTTCTCTACACTGAACTCAAAAGTTGCTTGCAAAGCAGGCTGCAGAATGTGTGTTCTATCAAAGGTGTATGTTCTTTTGTTGTGTTGTTTTTCACAAATCGTGGCAAGTGCTCATAGCCAGGCCCTTGTCTCACTTTTCGTTCTCAACCCAATCAACTAGCGTAGGTCAACGCAGGTAGCTGTTGTTCACACATGTCGTCATGTTAGACAATTTTTGGTGTTGTACAACAGAGCATGGGTCCCTGAACGTCATAGGCATGGTGTAAGTTGGTTTGGTTAGAAGTAGGCACTGGTTTATTTTTCATCTACCAGGGCCATCTTTCTCCAAAAGGTCACCTATGATCATAGCTGTTTCCTTGCAGGCGTGCTGAGACGGGGCCGCGGGTGCTGAAACTTTGGTAGGCGCAGTGCAAGTCAGACCTCAAGCCCGTTCTACTTGAGCAGCTGCCTCTCTTGGACCAAGCAAGATACTCCTGTGAATCGATTTGTGTGGGTCCGAAACCAGGGATGCCAACCTACCGCTTGCCTCCACCATTGTACATTGACTGTTTCCAAATCAGGGTCCAGCCGCACACATAGTTGGTCTGCCCATGTTTCCCTTCAGCGTTGCAAGCCCGGTCCCTCATCCAGTCGGGAATGCAAAGATTTGCCGCGATCGATCGCGCCAGATCTATCGGAACACCAGCGGTAGATCCCGAGCCCAGCGCTCGTGGGGCGCCCGAGCAGAGTGACTCTGAGCGCCTGCCAGGGTTGTCCCGGGCTTCGGTTTCTTCTTTCTGTAGGCCGGAAGGGCGTAGATTAATTAGTGCGGGCCGATTTGGACAGCCCTTTGGCAGCCCTCAATGGTGGCCGATGCGCTGGGCGACATGTTTTTTGGTGCTGCACATACGTGTACATATTATATATATATACGTGTATATATATATATAAATAGCTATAGGACGGCATTGGAATGGTACGACAGGATGTGTGGCATGTCATGGGGTTCGCCGTGCTTTTGAGAGTGAAAGGTTCCCGTGTGCCATGAGCGATGCTGAGAATGATGCCTACACGGGGGAGCGGGAAAAAGCAGTCTTGTGGGATTCTTGTAAGCACGGATGGTGTGAGACACAAGCGAATTGATCCATTCACTGGTACTTCTGTGCTGTGACAACAATGTAGCCAGAAGTTAGCCAAAGTTCCACTTAGCGCACATGTTTGGGGTCTTTTGGGCTTCAAGCAAGGTTGCGCTGCATGACTCCAATTCTACGGTTTGGCGCAACGGAGTACTTCTGGTCGATCCGGTCGGTGGTGTGGTGTCATTTTTGTTGTGTTCCCTCCATGAAAACTCAGGGCCTTCCGAAAAAGGCATTGGTGCTCCTTAAGTGACCCTTCAAGGTGGCACTCGGAGAGGGCGCAGTGAAAGTATTTGTTCCTTTGCCTACGGGTACAGTCTGGGCGGCTGCCCCCCCTAAAAGAAACCTATGTGTTTTCTCCAACAGCCCCTATTTCAAGTGACGCAACGTTGGTGGATTGGTGGCTTGGATTTGGATTTGAGGTGCTGGTTCTTGGGTAAATTGGAAGCCCACGGAACACCTCCAAACCAACCCGACGAGTGGGAAGCGGAGGATTTCCGGGTGACAGCTCGGAACTTAGGAGCCAACGCGACATGTTCTTCGGCTCATTGCCGGCTCACCTGCAACACAAGGCTGGAACAGAGAGAGACGTGGCGACATGAAAGAGGGCAGGGCAAATTGATATTATTCATAAACCAACACGAAAAAAGGCAACAAGATGTCAGTATATATATATATATAATATATATATATATTATATATATATATATATTTGTAGGTGTATGTTCATCCTTGACGCAGCGGCTCGATGATGCTAGCTTCCTTTGAACGCCCTTGGCCTTCGCTTCAATTCCGCCCCTTTCCCACGGGCCCATGGGAAGCCACCGAAGGGTTTTCGAGTCGCCCCCGTTGTGGGGCTCTACGGGGAGACCAACCGGAGCACCGTGGGTTTCGCGCTTTTTTTTGGGGGGGAAGCCAAGCCAAAACAAGACATGGCCACCTGGCAAGACAAATGCAAGCGACTTCCTGAGGCGATGGTGAGCACGCAAGAATGGTCTCGTGCTGGATATGTCGAGTTGCTCTTGCCAGTCGGGGCAGGTCCTGTCAACCATGCGGCTGCAGTGAACTCTTGGCTCGTTTTGTTCTGTTGAGAATCCACTTTCCAGCCTGGAGACTTTTCTCTATGTCCAACATGGAACCTGGCTGAGGGTTCTGGAAGCCCATTTTCCTTTAACATGAACCCTTTGGTGGGTTACATGTTGGTGGACTCCGGAGGGTGGTTGTTCTTTCGGCCAAAGCTTGTTATAGTCAATAGTGGTCGTCACCTGCAGTCATGGGAGCTCAAGGGCGCTTTCTTGGGGCTTTCCAGTCGAGGTATCATTGTGATCTTTGGCAGGTCGTAGGGGGTTCCCGAAGGCTCCCTAAGGAATCCCAAGGAACTCTACAGAAATTTTGCAGAACCCCGAGGAAATTTTGCAGAACCCTGAGGAACTTTTACGGAACTCCGAGGAACCCGAAACTGGCTCTCAACTACCCACCCCGCTGGTACCTGCCATGAAACCAGCGAAAGGCAGCTTAGAGCGCCCTTGGAAAGCCAGGAGTTCTTTGCTCGCTGCGGGCCACCAGACATGTGCCCGGAGAAGCCGGGAGGATGGGGAGCTCGCCCGAAGGAGTGGCGACGAGTCCGGTGGGTTGGGGTCATGAACCGGAAGGAGGTTCTTTGAAAGGAAACCAGAAGGGGTACGTTTTTTTTGTGTTTTCCTTTTTTTTTAAAGATATATATATATATATAGGTTGTTTTTTGCCTCCCCGGGTATGTCCAACTCATTGCCTGATAAACAGCAAGTTGTGCAGTGTCATGGTCAAGGGTTGTCCAACTCAAATGATGCAATGAGCAATGTGCGGGTAGGAGCTTTCATGCTCCCTGTTGGTGGGCCCTTTGACTTTGTCTTCTCAGACTTACCTTTGGTCACATCGTAGCGACCTCGCGAGTTTTGGTTTGCAACCTTGGGCGTTTGGTGAACATGTTAGGATACACCCAGCTTCCCTATGGGCTCTTTATCGGCCAATTGGGATGACCTCAACGCTATGGTTGAAAATCGGCATGAAAGGCCTCTTTGCAGGGCTGATCGCGATCCACATCTCAATTGGGCCAACTTGGCTGGCGGTTTGGCATTTGACGCTCTGGCTGAGGGTACCATGGGTACCATCTCCCACCAAGAAACATGCAAGTGGACGTTCTGGGGCACAACCAAACCGGGCTGCAATCCACCGGCTCGGGAAGCTGAACATGAGCCTTGGTGGCAAGCCATCCGGGTCCTCAGCTTAGGGTTCAGTGGGGGTTTCCATTTAACCCACGAAGAGTTAAACAAGTTGCAAGGGATCTGAGGACAGCCCAGTAGCACTCGTTCGTGGTCGTTCAATTTCTAGCCTCGCAAGAGCTACCATTGGGTTTTGCTTTCCTTGCGAGTGACGGCGTCGATACGCGTCGATGGCTCGTTGCTTTCAGGAAGTCCAGGAATGCGCTGACAGAGTTCAACGGATGATGGCTTCCAATGCGGAGATACATCCTGAATTACAAGTGTTTAAACTGAGCACTCTCCTTCGTTTCAAAGTACCAACGCTAGACCCACTCTTTCTCACTTCCTGAGTTCATGAACTTTAAACTTTTTGGGAAGACCATTTTAGTTGTAAATATAAAGTTTGATTTTTGTTTGGGCCATCCACTCAGCAAGTGAGCTTTAGGGGCAGCAGTTTTTTCCACTGGCTGCGCAGGTACCGACCACACCACATGGCCTACTTCAATGAGCCTCACGACAGCGAGGAGTACGAGGCGTGGGTCGCTCTTGTTGCCCGCGTGGGGCAAAGATAGGCCACCAAAAGGCCGCAGGTTTTAGTGCGTGTTGCATTTACCGGTTCCATATTGGGTACCTATTTTTGGCCAACCTTGGCCTTGGAATGAACACCCCTGGAACCAGCCACCAGGCGCTGATGCGCCGATGCCTTGATGCATCAAGGGGCCTTGACAGGAGGGGGTGACAACGGCATCCCGCGTTCCTTTTTCCAGTGTTTCAGCCCTACCAGTGCTGTTGCCCGCATGGACAGAAAGCGATTTGCTTCCATGCTAGCCTGTTCACATTCCATTCGGCAGTCTCCTTGAATTCGGGCAGCTTGGCATGACAACGACTGCATGTCAGTCAACCATGCAGCAGCACAAGTTGTAAGATGGTTGGATATTCACTCTCATGTTCAGCCATTTGGAGGGGTTCTTCAAACTCAATGTGTGTCGAGCTCTTTGCCGATTCCATGCGTTTTTGGGTTGGACAACCCGATGAACGTTCAACCCTCTGATAAGATAGCGTTCTTAGATACACGGGCGTCGTGCAGTCAAGCTCATCCACCGGTCGCCAGCTTCCCACACAACACACGATCAAAGTGTATACACGTTTCCTTTGTGGAGTCGCGACTATATTGCATGTGTGTGTGTGTGTTGAACCGCGGGAACATGTTCGATGTTTGGCTTTATGCCGGTTCCAATCGAACTCCGCCCCACGGGTCCCCTTTTTTTTTTGACGCATGTGGGTGAGAGGCTCGGTCTCTTTTGCTGGCCCGGGGGTTGCTGAGGGGCCAAGGGGCTAAAGCACCGGCCTTCCCCGCCGCAAGCCCAAGCCTTCCCAGCATCCCTCATTCTCTGCCTCTGCCCGCCATGGCCAACTCGGAGCGGGTGGGGAGAGAAGAGGGGGCCTCGGCTCAGCGCGGACTTGTCTTTGCACAAGTCCTCCAGGAACATCCATTTAAAGTTGTCTTTGTTTAGTTTGTACCCTCCAAAATGGCGCAACGGTTGTCCTTTGGGTTTCCCTTTGAAGCCACAAAAGCGGGGGCCCCCTGAAAAGACACATCCATTCAGTTCTCTCGGAATTTTGCTTCAAGGTGGAGCCAAACACTTAATGTGAGGCCACAACGTCAACACATGAGAGCAACAAGAGACAGCTTGATCGTCGGCGAGTGGTTCAGAAGCTTTTTGGCAATGCCTTGCGGGCTGTCCAGCAATGTCATTCCTTTAAGGCCGCCAAAAAAGCAGGTCCCTTAAATAAAGACAACCATTCGGGTGTTGTTGCTTTGAGGGTACCCCTTTTCAGGTTAGTCCAAAGGAAAACCACCATGAACACATTGCCCAAAGCTGCATTGAGCACCAGGCAAGAGTTGTCACTCGCTCGTACGCTACACTAGATTGGGGCTTGAAATTGAAGAAGCATCCTGAGATGCAGCAATGGATTCGGTACGACGCCGTTTCAGATGATGTGCAAAACGATTCTTCCATTCACGGACAACAACACACTTGTTTTCTGCCCATGTGCTTATATGGCTGCCAGTGGTACCATTTTAGCAAGTGACTGTTTGCAACGACCAGGTGAACGATGTGAACTGCATCTGCAGTTGAACCCGTTCTTGCACCTCGCAAGGTGTAGCTTTGCTTGCACAGGAGGAGCACGTTGTGCCGCGCGTGAATGCTTTCCGCGGCTTCATGTCCCAGGCAGGGGGGGGGGGGCAAGAACCGTGTCCTTGTTTGCAACGCCACCCTCCTTGTAGCAGTTTGCATAACCTCAGACCCTTCAGACCTTTGTGCAGTGACAAAGTCATGGCTCACCCATTGGACAAGTCAATATTCGATCCATGCGCTTGTGCGCTTCCTCCGCCTAGAGGGCTGCCCTTGTTCGACAGGGTGTTCCAAAAGAAGACAAAGAGTCTTCTGGATGGTGAAAGAGAAACTCGAAGGGACCTCCAAAACGTATCCATGTGTCAAAGGGAGCCGACTAACAGTTAGTTCATGGGATCTCAATCATGCTTTAAATGGAGACCATACTACCAAGGACAAAGATAAATGGATGGTGTCCGCCTCGTTTTATGGATCGCTCAACCCAGATGAGGTCTGCTAGAACATGACAGATTCCAAACCACAAGCGTTGTGGGCAGCCCGTATCCCCTGCTTTTCTTTGGGCTTCCATAGTTCATCTTCCATTCGCGCAAGAGAACCGTACCACGGGCTGGGTACTCTTCAGTGGGACAAATACGTGTGTATTTTTGTTGTTACGTGGATTGCTCTGATTGTGTCCTGCTTGATTTACCCCTGGTTGACACGCGTTATAAGTTATGAGGTACAGCAAAAACCTTTGTGTTTATGTGTGTCTACATATATATATATATATATATATCATACATATATATATATATAGACATGTACGCACTATGTGCTTGTCTGTTTGTTTGTTTGTTTGTTTGTTTGTTTGTTTGTTTGTTTGTTTGTTTGTTTGTTTGAGGCTACCCTTTCACCCTGGTCAAATGCAAGCCAAGAGGACCAAAGACGACCGGGGCCCCGACCCCCGACACGTCGCATGACCCACAATCAAAACCCGGGTAGATGAAGGTTAGTAAGGGCCAACCCCAGCCAGAAATAGCTGCGGCCGCCTTCTTAATTCTTTACATGGTTCTGGGTAGGCCATTTTTTTGGGGGTTGAGTCCCCAGTCTTTTCAACCATCGTTCTTTCCAATTGCCGGCCGTTGTCCCTGGGTTTCCGGAGGTTTTCTATGAAGGATCCCTGGAATGAGTGGAAATGGAAGGTACCCCCAGAAGTTCTTAAAAGGACTTCCACCTCCCAAACAAAACAAAAAGGGAAAACAAAAACAGCAACAAGGAACCCTCCCCCCCAAAAAAGAAATACCGTTTTGGTTTCTTCAAACAACACCAAAGAAACTGGTACCCTACAAAAAAGACAGACGCATTTAACTGCACAGACCCCACGCACCGGGTTTTGATCTTATGACTCGACGTACCCCGAAACGACCGGATCGTCGCCGCGAGGTCTGCGAGCAGGTCTGCATGGAGTTCGAGCGCGAGGTCACCCAAATGTCGGAGGAGCCTCTCGGGGTTTTGCGGCACGAAAGTGGCAAGGCCAAAGGGGGTTCCCATGTTTCTGGGTCCGGTTCCTTGGTATATTTTAGCTTTTTTAGTTGGCGTAGCAGTAGTATGTTTCTTGGTTCTCGGGCATCCGGTTCCTGATTTTTATTTGTTTTGGCTTTTTAGTTGGCGTAGTGGTAATTTCCACTAAACCAGCAACAGTTTTCGACGTAGCAGGGGATCGGAGGGGAACAGCCCATGTTTGAAGTCTGGGAATCGATTCGGGAGGCAAAAACGAGTTGCTCTCGGGATCCCTTCAATTTCAGAAAGTCACATATGGTCCGCTTTAGCCTATATAGTCAAGTTGGTTCAAAGTGCAAAGTCAAACTTTAGCCCAATCAAAACTGATTCAAAGCCAGGGCAACTGTATAGATGAGGGCTCCGCTCAAATGTGATTCCGTGAACTCCTTTTCAAGGCTTTTACCAGCTAAGCTTGGCTGATCCCGATGGCCTGGTTCAACGATGTATTTTTCGAATTGGAATTGGGGGAGGGGGGGGCGACTGGAGTTCCATTTATGGTGTCATTTCCCCGCACCCCCCCTGAAAGAAGGGGCGATTTCCCATGCCAGATCTTCAAATTTGAAGCAGGCCCGTGCCGTGTTCCTGATTAAGTATGTTTGCAGTTTGTGTAGTTCTGCAGTTTGCGCACGTGTGTGTGTGTGTGTGCGCGTGTGTGTGTGTGTGTGCGCGCATGACAGCGTTTGCCTCGGTTTGTGTGTTTGTGTGAGCGGTTTCTGTTCCTCCTCGCTTTGAGAGTTTTCTCCGATCGCTATCTGGAACATCCCAGAACAGCGGCAAATGCCGATCCCGACGCAGATGGAAGTGCTTAACGCTGTAACTTGCCAGCCCTGTTGTTGAATGGCACCCTCCGCTCAGGTAACCCATTGGTGGTTTGGACTGGTTTGGGGATTAGAACCCCTGGTTCTTGTATAGGGTAGGTGGGAAAGCGCCCCTTAACCACCAAACCACCAAACCACCACACCACAACTCCAAACCATGGGGGGAAGCTGATCTACTTCAGTTGCTTCTTCCCGGCTGAAGCTCAGAAACCCCGCAAAGGACAAGCTTTTGGCCTCCGCTCGAACTGTAGGACATCCTCATGTATCGCGGCGAGCTCGCCAAGTGTGCGGATCTCTTGGCGTACCAACTTGGCAAGGAGACGGCGCATTTCTCTAAAAGTTGTGACTATCGACCCAAGCTCCAGAGCTGCACGTGAGCAGTTACGGGTCCAGCTCTCGATTTTGACTATCCCATGTTTTACTTATTTTTGGAAGACCAAGACCCAAGCAGCTGCAGAGATGCATAGAGGGCGAACAGCTTTCGGGCCGCTGTTTCCTGGGGCCAGAGTGAGCACTTGGGGCTGACATTGAGAATGAGACACACACACACACACACAGGTTGCTCGCGATGGGTGACGTGTTTCTGGCCACAACTGACCGTAGTCGAGCGGCTTCGCAGATCCGCAGAGTTGAAGCCTTGTCCCAGGATGCCATCTCATCTTTGGGCAGTTCAGAACATTGCCGCATATCCAACCGATGTACAGACACGCCTGCAGCTCTGTCATGTTCCTCGACTGCAAGTGGCTAAAGCAGCAATACTTAGGTTTGGAGCACACACCCAGCAGCCGCCTAGCGAAGATTCTGAATCGTAATTGTCAACGTCGTCATCGCCAACATCATCATGATCATGTATCATCATCACCGCCACCACAACCACCACCGCCACCACCACCGCCACCGCCACCGACACCGCCACCGCCACCGCCACCGCCACCATCCTCCTCCTCATCGTCATCATCATCAGCAGCAGCATCAACATGATAATAATATTCACAATAATAAGCACAATAATAATTACTCTCATCATCATCCTTGTCGGCGCCGTGCCACGCATCTCGAATTCACGGGAACGGATGAAAGACAAAGATGCAACTCGTACCCCAGCAGGTATATGCAAGAGCGTCTTGCTTTTCACGATTCCTACTTGGACTTGCCGTGCTTGAAGCGTCAACTACCTGCGGTAGGAACATATTTAAACGAACCTAAGAATGCCATGCCATGATATGCCATGTGCCAGAGGAAGCCTCGACTTGACAAGCCTCCAGTGCCTCCTGTTCTGCATTTGACTATGGTTCTGTGTCTGCGTTTCTTCTTGTGTTTCTGTCTTATTATGTTTCTTCTGCTTCTTCTTCTTCTTTCTCTTTTTTGTCCATGCTGTTTGCTTGAATCAGCCATGCTTCTCCAATCTAGGAGAGCCCTGTTTGGAAATTTCATAGACATCATTTGTCCTCCCCTCGTTCATATGGAACCTCGATTAAGATGGAGTCCATTGATTTGTTGCTCAGTTGGGGTCCGCAGAGGGGCAGTTGCCTTAGATGAAAGGATGACAAAGAAAGCAGCTGTAGGGCTAGGGTTTCAGGCTAGTTAGCTGAGCAGGTAACTGCTTGTCTGGGTGCAATGCAATACTTTTCTGCATCATTTTGTTTAATAGCAACAGTGGATGATGTACTGAATGCCCAAGACTGGACATTGGCACCGCAGCTCAGAAGACCCTTCAACGCGGCCAACGCCAAACCACTCGCGGTTGCACGACACGAGACAAACCAAATCCAGGGAGAAAGACCGGCGTTTGGCGGCAGACATCTTGCCCGGTGTGTTGTGCTCTCGAAGCCGGGGGTGTCGATTCTGAAATTCTACCTCGTAAGACATGGAAGCCTGGCTTCCAAGCTGGCCGCTGGCTTATCCATGAACCGGCTCATGTACACGGGAAGCCGCATTCTGCTTCAGCTTGGCTTTTGAGTTTGCTGACAAATCGCACTGATCATGTTTTGATGTTTAGATTTTGCGGAGCTCCACAAAGGTCAGATCCCATGTTAGCTTGACAACTCGCTCGCAAAACGACACCTTTCTCAGATGCCTCAAGGGCATACGGCCAAAATCGTAATGACCACAGCACGCCTGGCCAGGTAGTCATGCCGAAATTGGGGATCCTCGTGATGCAAAGGGAAGCCAATAGGAAACAATCCCAGGAGTTTGGGGTCCTTCATTCCGAATTCCCACTGAGGATGTTCATTCAGCGACATTCGATTTTGACGTGTTGCCACAGGTCACGCCTGGTATCTCTCGCCAGGAGAAGCAGTACCACAACATGCTGGAGAATATAGCAGGGAATACGTCGACATTAATAGGGTGCCTTGGCGGGATCTGGATCTCTCTCTCTCCGTCTCCCTCTCTGTCTAACCTCTCTACTGGAGGACCTACTGTCTGAGCACTCTCTGCTGATGTTCCATCTACAGGATTCATGTGGCCCTTGCTCCCGTGAAACAAGCATCCATCAGGTGTCCGTTTCTTCCAGAAAGCCAAATTTTGGGGGACCTCATTGCCAAGTTCCATCTACAGGATTCATGGGCTTTGCCAAGGAGGCTCCCGTGAAATCAGCAACCAACAGGTGTCCCTTTTTCTTCCAGAAAGCCCAACTTTTTGCCTCCCCCCCCCCCTCGCCCGTCCCCCACCAGTTCCGTCCCTTTTTTGGGATGCACGACTTCGGCCAGGAGGCATAGGTGTCCTTTTTAGGTTAGTCTGGTCAAGAATGGAAGGCACTGGTTTAGGCGGGTTTCACTCCATTTACCAGGCCCATCTTTTTTTTTCTCCAGAAGGACGCCTACTGTGGATGGGCGAAATCCAATTCGCACTACTTTGAAACCATGGTTGAAACGATTGTTTGTTGGTATTTGCAGGGGAATCATCATTTCAGGGTTTCTGAACGGTGGTGCGAAATGGATTTCGCAACCATCCGCAGTTGCCAGGAAGTCCTCGGAGCTGGGGCAGAAGCACTCGGCCACGGAGCCGCTGCGGGAGCAGATGAATCAGCTCATGGAGGCCATGTTCAACACCCACAAGGCGCGTGGAACAAACTTTCGCGCCGTCGAAGATGTGACATGTACGACATGGTGGCGGTCTTCGGACGTCAACTGGTCCCCCAGCTAGGTGCCCTTCTTGACCAACTTTTTTTGGTTGGGAGGGTTCCCCTAAAATAGACGTCCTGAAAAAGTTGGTAGCCTTATTCTACTCTACTGGAGGACCTAGTGGCTGTCAGTCTACATGAAGCTAGGGCCAAACTCGGGCTGTAGCCAAGCCCAGGTTTGCAAGGGCGACCTTGGCTTGGTTTTGCCGTGATTGCTGTAAGGTTTTGGATTGGATCTAGCCGCGGGCCCTTGCGCGCCATATGTTCTGCGTGAAGCCCGTTTTTGTTGTTGTTTTTTCTCTTTTTTTTTCCTGGAGATAGCTAGAGAGCTTCAAGATCAGGGTGGTTTGATGGAAAAAGTCTTGCTGGTTCGATAGGCAGGACTGAGAAATGGAATGACCCCGAGGCAAACCATCCCTTGTGGTTTAGTGAAAGGGAATCCGAAATGGTTCATTCAACCAACACCCGGACTCATTAAGTCATTTCCTACATATCGCACTGATCGCAAGTTATGTCATCTTTTCAGCTTGTAAGCTTCGAGATAGCGGCAGTCGGCCCATTTGGCATCTCATGGTCCCTGCGACAAAGCCAGGGTTGCCCCAGCAGCCAGATGATCAAACAAGGGAAGACAATTCGGTTTAAGTTTGCTCCCCAGATCAAACAGTGGAACCCAAGAAGGGGTCTCCCAAATAGAGATTCCGAGCCTAAGAATGGTGGTTGTTCCATGTGGCAGTGCCATTTTTTCAGGGATCCTTTTTGGGGTTGGTTAAGACGGGGAAACCAAAGGAAACCCCCTGAAAAAAGGAACCAAACGTATGTTAATCTGCAACAGTGTAGAAATTGGTTTTGCTTTGCAGGTTTTTTGGAGCTGCCTCGAAGGGCAGCCACAAGTCCACTTTCGGGATTTGAACCCCTGTTTTCTAGGGATGAGAGGGGAAATGGGGTTCGCCATCCCCACCAAACCACCAATGCACATCACCAATTAGTGAGAAGCTGAATTAAAGAATTAAAAGGACGCTTCCATGGCGGGTCCCCAATTCACACTCCTTCTTTCTACCAACCAACCCGCTGGTCAGCCTTAAAAAAGATCAGGATGCGCACTACGGACATGCTGGCATTCATGACGAGCACCGCCAAATGGTGGCCATTCGGATGGGAATCTGGGTATGCCTCCCAATCGGTATTATGTCAACATAGAGGTGCCCCAACAATGGCAGTTTTCCTTCGGGTTTGCTACCTAAAAGGGGCGCCTTCAAAGCAACACACTCAAAAAGTTGCTTTCCCTTTAACACCACCCGAAAAGAGCCAACCGTTGGTTCCCCCGTCAAACGGCTTCAAGACAAATCCATTCGAGGTGCTGGGGGCGGAGATAGCTTACTTTCGTGTCGGACACAGAACCCACTCCTTTTCGGGCAATTGGCCAAACAGATCGAAGGAATGTGAAGGGCGGCTAATCTTGCGAAGGCGGTGGTGGCAGGGGTTTGCAATGCCTGCAATGGAGCTTTGGCTCACCCTCTTGATTCTTTGCAAACACTTCTGCTTTTGGTTGCACCCGAGCAGCAACCAAATTCTGTATGATAAACGTGGCGGACTGATCCGTTCTTGCATGCTTGCAGCTTCGTAACAAGTTTAAGGGCCATCTTTGGCAACAATTTTATAACAAATTAGTTGAGGTCCTGAGAGTTGCGATTCAAGCACAAGAGACGCCCTGTTTTTTTTGTTTCGCGAGAAAATCGAGGAATCCACCACCAGGCATGAATGCGCTTGTGTGTCTGATGAGTTTGCGTGCGCATTGCTTGAATCTTTGCTCTTTCTCAGGTCAATGCTCCATGGGTGGTTTTCCAACCAGCAAAATGTGCAGAACGCCCAAACAGCAGATTCCTTACTCCCCACGTTCCTGTACTTTGCACATTTTGGGACGACCATTTGAGTGGTAAGCAAAAAGTTTGGACTTTTGTGGCCCACCCACTCAGGAAGTGAGATTCCGAAAGCACCCCCATGTCTTTCCCAGAATTAGCTCCCCGTTTTGATTTGTTCAACCTTTTGTGGGTCCCCTTTGTTTTCCACAAGGCCAAAAGCACACTTACGTTTTTCTGGGGTCCGAATTTTTCAGCCAAGGAACAAGTTTGGACCTTTTTGGTCCACCCACGCAGGAAATGAGACACCCCACCCCATGTGAGGAATGTTCCTCTGACGCCGCTTGTCCGGGGTCGCGGCTCGTTTCGTTTTGGGAGTCGCGTCGTTTCGTCGCCTGAGGAGAGCCATCTCATGACCTCCGCGCAGCTCCAGAACCAGGCTGAGGCAGTGCAGGCCTTGGGACGGGAAGCCAATCGCTCGAGTGATTTTCTCTGGTACGGGAAGGTCCCCCTAGGTGCCCTTGTACCCCTTAGTTTTCTTCAAAGCTATACATAAGAGGACACATGCTGTTTGTGCTCTCGTCAAAATTCCTTTCTAGGTCCCCCAGCAGTGCCCTTTGGCCAGCTGTTTTGGTTGGGAGGGTTCCCCTAAAATAGGCTACAGAATAATAGTTGCGTATTCTAACCTCTCTACTAGAGGACCTAGGGAACGTCAAATGAGTTGGTCTCAAAATGGTTACTTCCATGTGCTGAAATGAATATGTGTTATTTTCCCCTGTTGGTTTTAAAGGGCGATTGAAAACGCTTGGCCTGTTCACAGTCAAGGAGGGGTGTGTCTCAACATCAGGGACAAGGTTGATTCCTGTTTGGTGTCCTCGAAACGAAAAGAGAGGAAAAACACAAAACAAACGGCTTCCTTGTTTTGATTCTCTGGAAAGGGAAGGTCAAATGAGTTTGTCTCAAAATGGTTGCCCTCTCGCCTTTTTTCGCATGGAACCTGACAGGGGGCCCCTTTGCAAGGAACATGATGTTTCAGGAGCCCCTGTCAGGTTCCACATGAATTGGCGGGAGGGTAGACCACACATATATTTGGTGGCCTCTTTTTCGTTTCCCTTCGCGAACTTCACGGCAATCAAAGGGTACCCCAAAAAAAGACTCATCTGGGCTTGCTTTCTCCGCCCGACAGGCTTGGGGTTGTTGGATTTTCAGTGACATCCGACCACCACAGCCCGCGCGACAGAGCCTGTGACTGACAGCTGCGACAGAGCCTGTGACTGACAGCTGTGACAGTCCGCAACCTGAAGCTCCCGTGGCCGGACCAGGACAGTCAGTCCGAAGCTGCCAGTGGCCGGCTGTGGCCGAAGCTGGGCTGAAGCCACAGGAAGCGTGGCATTTTTCAGAAGGTTCGCACGCGCTCCAAGCAAATTTGAGGACAAGTTGCGTCACCTTCCCGGGAGCTTCCGTTTTGCTTGTTGGGCTGCTTGGCGCTTAGATTTTTTGGTTTTGGCAGTTTTTGACCCACACGCCCAGCTGGTTTTCAGCTGCTCTCAGCCCATGTATTTGGATCTGGGGGTTACAGATCATGTGTCCTTGCAAGAGCTGCTTGAAGAATCTCAGAGTGCCTCGGCAACAGGAAACGGGGGCGTTCTCGGCCTATTGGGGATGTTTGGCGCGTTTCACCAAGTAGTTGCGCTGGGCATTGCGTGTATATGTTTGCCTGAGGAAGACACCAGAGGTAGAATGAGTTGAGCGGAATGCAGCAACCCTTTGGTGCAAGCTCGGTCCAACTAGCACCTACTTGTTCTGTTGCCATGTTGGATCGTGAGGGTAAGATTTCCAGGCCAAGAGGGTAAACGTGTGTGTGTGTGTGTGTGCCGTTTTTGGGAAGCCCCTTTTGGTTGGTTTGAAGTGAACTCAGGAGGAACACCCTTTCAGAAACCTCCAAAGCAAAACACACCCAAATCATGCTCTTCAGACGGATTGAAAGGGGATTGATTGATTGATTGATTGATTGTTTGATTGATTGATTGATTGATTGATTGATTGACTGACTGGCTGGCTGACTGACTGACGGATTGGATTGGATTGCATTGGATTGGATTAGATTGGATTGATTGGTTGATTGCCCCTCCTCCAAAATCATTTAGCTTGCCCTACCAGTGTGACGCCCCAGTTCCTTGCTAGCCCGCCACGGGCTAAATGACCTCACTGAGGATGAAGCTGCCTTTTTTGAATTCCAGGTGGCAAATCTTTGCGGTTTTACATAGCTCAATGCAAACCCTTTGCTTGAAATGGCCATTCCTTTTCTGAGGGTACCCCTTCTTTGGTGGGTTTTCAAGGGAAACCAAAAGGAAAACCGTTTTGCCGTTGCGGGGAAGGTCCGAATCCAAAAAACAGTTTAGGGCCCGACTCCCCAAACATTTTCGGCCGTGAAGCCCCGGATGGGGGCCAGATGTGGAGAAAGCCGGCCATCCGATAGGCTGAGCTTGACAGCATCATGCGCGTCCTCTCCGTGCCGGTCGCTGCTCGCTCGCCAAAAAAGAGCCAAGGGTCTTCAGTAGTTCAATACGGCTGGCTCGATTCGTTTTTTCGGGATTCGGGCCCGCCCCAAATGGCGCAACTGAGTTTCTTCTCCTGGTGGTTTCCTTTTAGAACCGACCAAACAGGGGTACCAACTCAAAATATGAGAGACCTGTACCGATGTGAGAGTTACAGAGTAGACTATCTGAAGTGTATCGTCCCTGGTTCGAACACTAGATGTTGTTTCACATGACATGCTGTTACCGGACAGAAACTATGTTGGGATGCTGGGCAAGAACCCCAAGTAACAGAATGCTCGTGCCTTTGCCTTGTACCCTCCGTGCCCTTTCAAGATGATTCTACCTGGTACCCCTTAGTTTTCTTCACAGCTATACACAAGAAGGCGCATGCTGATTGTGCCTTTCTCAAAGTGATGGCCCGGTTTTGCACCCAAGCCCGTCTTGGTCCCCCAGTAGTGCCCTTTGACCAACTTTTTCGGGGGAGGGTTCCGGGTTCCCCTACTAAAATAGACCACAGGAAAAAGGGCACCCTTATTCTAACCTCTACTGGAGGACCTAGACACTGATGTGACCGTTTGGCGAAGTGCGAGGTGTCCTACACCAAAGCCCAGAACGTGCCGCGGCCGAGCCTCACGCAATCGCCGCAGCAGAGCAGAAACCCGCACCTCGGAGGGGAAAGCTGGAAGGACAGACACACACCTCACACACCTCACACACCTCACACACCTCACACACACACATTGATATTCGTTCGGAGCTGTGGACCAATTGCTGTGTTGCTGTGCATTGTGCGTGTGTGTGTGTTTTTGTTGTTTCTCCGTTTGTTCTTGCCATGCTGGTTTGCTTGCTCGCCTTCGTGTTCGCTTCTTCCTCAGGCAATCTCCGGGCACGGCGGGCCAATCCCCCTCGGCGAATTTCAGCCTGGGCGCGTCTCCGAATGCTAAGCCAGCACGAGGCGCGGCCGAACGGGTCCACAGGGTCCAAGGATGTCCAAGGGGTTGCCTCGTCGTCTATCGTACATTTCATTGGAAGCCCGTCATTTTTGCGGACACGTGCTACACCTTCTGCAGAAATCCCTGGGGAGGGGCCGTGTTCTCACATGAGGGGAGCGGCGATGGTACACCCTCCAATGATTAGATTGATTAGTTGGCAGGGGTCAGCGGTTCTTTTGCGGCTGGAGATGCAAAGCAACTATTGCCTTTATCTAGGTCCGCCAGTAGTGCCCTTTTACCCTTTTTTGGGGGGAGGTTTCCCCTACTAAAATAGACTATTCTAGCCTCTCTGCTGGAGGACCTAGTTTATTCTATAACCGTGCTGCCTAACATTGGCACAAGACAGTCCGGTTTCTCTGTCCTTTTGTTTTAGCAAGAAGTTCTGCGGCTTGGGCATGCTAGTATGCAGTCTGCGACCTTGATGCTACCCTGAGCTCCGTTGCAGCGGTGATGTTGTTTGTTGTTGTTTGTTCCTGTTGTTTATGTTGCTGTTTGTTGTTGTAGCTTGTTGTTGCTTGTTGTTGGTTGATGTTGATGGATGTTGGTTGATGGCGGTTGTTGCTGGTTGATGTTTGCTGTTGTTGATTGTTGTTGGTTGTTGGTTCTTGGTTGGTGCTCTCGTTATTATTATTGTTTTTGTTGTCGTTGTCGATGTCGATGTCGCTGTTGTCGTTCTTGTTGTTTTTACCACAATTGTTTTCCAGAGGTGTTGATGCTCTGCTCCGATTATTCCATGATGATTTGGGCAAGTGAGCCAAAGCTGTGCGGTTTGTTAAATTGAGAAAGGGCAGCCATCGATCCTTTGGATTCTACATCTCACGTGGGAGAGTCCGCCAGTTCAGATTTGATGGCCCGCTGGTTCCGGACCGCGTTCCACCCGGAGGGTTCAGAGCTTCAGAAGGTTCGTTGAGGGGCCGATTGAAGCTTGTCAGGTCTCAAAGTTGATGCCAGTCTCAAACTCCTTGTGTCATGAGGGCCAGCCATGTCTCCCGTGGCACCTCGTGGTTAATGTGTTTTGCTTTGCTCAATTGGTCCCCAGGCAACATGACCAACATCAATGGGTGCCCTTCAAACCGTTCCCCCATTCCCCCATTCCCCTATGGCCCTCGACAACATCGCTTGCATAGCAGAGCTTGACTGCACGTTACTTGCTGATGTGGTTCGCTTTATGCTGGGCCGTGCCGCAAACCAAAGTGGAGTCAATCAGCTTCGGGGTGGGCAAAACCACAACAGAACAATATGTATTTTGAGGGTACCCTTCACTTTCACGTTGCAAAATGAGCCCCACCCCCAATTCCCAATTCCCAAGGTCCACATCCTTTTGACACAGACACACACCACACACCACGCACATAGGGTCGCCTCCAAGCAACGTCTGCAGGTCCGACTGGCGGCCAAGTGCAGACGATGTCGGGCTACGGCAATCGCGCTTCCGGCCCCGGCGCGGGTGGCACCGGCATGGGCGGCATGAGCATGGGGAATCGCGGGCAAATGGCTTAGGGCCGAGGTGTTCCAAGCCCCGAGTTCGACAGAAGGTCTCAGCAGAATCCCAGGTTCTGAAAAGAGAGAGATCAAGTGTTCACGGACTTGTCAGTTTGAAAGGAGACTGTTTCTCCTTTGGCACAGTTTGCGTGGGCAGAAGAACACAGCTGGCCTATGGCGGCTTCGGGATGCTCGAAGCGGGAGTGGGAGAACCAGCCCTCGGGCCGCGGAGCCTTCCGTTTTGAAGGCATCGCGGCCCGGCGGCTCAAGAAAGGTTTCTCAAGGCGACCTTAGCAGAAGTGTTCCTAGCCCCAAACACACCTCAAACATGGAATTCGGCGACCTTGGAAGTGTTTTTTCCTCCCCAAACACACCTCAAACATGGATTCAATTTTAGCTTGTGTGTTGGGTGGTTTCCCAATCAGGGAGGTTGTGACTTAGCTGGAGAGCTTGTTTTAGGATTCCGCACCTGGAGGAGTTGTCATTCCCTCAAGACAATTGAGCTGGGAGAGGGAAAGAACAGATTCAATCAACTCATTGGATGCTACTTTGTTCGGGACGAATCAATTTCAGCCACGCTCCAAAATCCATCACCTTTCTGCCTGGAGTTGGGTTGCATTTGCTGGTTTTCCAACCTCGGCTATGGCTTTCATGGCCCGCCTCGTTTCACCACTCGCAGACCGGATGTCCTTGACTGGCTACTTGGATTCGGGCACGTGTTGAGAGGGGGGGATCTTGGGATTGCAACCAAGCTTCGGGCTCAAGTGCGTTCGATTGGGAGTAGAGACTAATCCCAGTAGTGCCCTTTGACCAACTTTTTTGGGGTTGAGTTCCCCTACTAAAATAGACTACAGAAAAAAGGAAAGGGTACCCTTATTCTTACATTTATTAGATTGCCGGGAAACGAGGTGCCGCCTTTGGCTGTCCCCTCATGCTGGCTTTGACTGTTGGTAGTTTTTGTTGGCCTTGACATTGGCCGCAACTTGTTTTTCCTTTTTTGACTGACCTTTCCGCATGGGTTTCCGGTCTCCCATTTGAACCCCGCTTTAAAGGATGGCGATTTGTTGGCCAAAGACCAACATGTGAGTCACAATCAAACCTTAGTAATTGGAGGGTAGTAAGGGACACTCCCAGCCAGAATTAGGTGCAATTCCGAGCTTGCGATTCTTTGTGAATTGGCTTGGGGAGACCATTTTACTACCGGTACCGGGTTTTGATTGTGACTGCAAGATCTTCTGCCACGGGGCTGCAACCCCCACCACATGTTGGGAGATATTCCCCATGTGAAGTGTTTGGACACTACTTTGCTGGGTTCTTTGTGAGGACACCCCTACAAGACGCATTTCGAGCCGTAGAGGGTGGAATCCTCAGCGACGGGGCTGAAAAACAGTTGCCGGAACATGTTTGGCACCGTGAGACTGGTTTGGCATAGCTTGGCCCATGCGACTCTTTGCACCCGCCGTAAAAATACGAGCGCGAGCGACATCCGTCTGCGCCGAGATGCTTCCAAAGCTCTGAGCCTGCCGGGATTTTTCGCCATGTGAGCCACAGTCAAATCCCGCGGGGCGATCCCAACAGGAAATAGGTGCGGACATCCGCCAATGAATTTCCTTACATTGATTTACACAAATTTACAGCAGGTTTTTGTGGTGACTCGTGTGGCCGCGAGGGCTTCTTCAAAGCCTCGGATCCTGCGGGGTTGTATTTCACTGAGCTGCGGGTTGCCTTTGTGTCAGCAAACGGCGCCTGTGTCACCAGCCAGTCACTGGCACGGTTGGGAGAAAAGGACAGATCGGCCGAGTTCGGGGGATATGTCGAGTTGGGAAACTCACCAAACGACTCAACGACCAATCCAAACAATGGGAAGGAAGCTGAATACGCTTGCAAGTCCTGAAGAATTGTGGAATCTTTACCAGTTGCTTCCCCATGGGGAGTTTTCTCGTGTGTCATTCTCCTGAGGCATTTTCTGGCAATCTGCGGGACCCCTGGAAAGCCACGCATTTTCCTGAAAGGGAACCTCTGGTGAGTGGGTTCCGTGGGTTCCGTGGAGAGGGAACGTGCGCGTGCAGCGGAACAGCCGCCCTGCGTGGCTGTGCCGTTCGAAGCGGAAAGCTCTGCGTCATTGAGTTCTGATTCCCTTGGCTCTTCCAGTCCTCCAGTCGCCGCCAGGTTCTTTGGGTGGGTCTTTTTTGAAGGTGCGTTGGCGGTTTTAGAGGGAAACCAAAAGGGACTTCTTCTTTTTTTTGGGGGGGGGGTCCCCAACAAAGGCCCCCACCCTCTGTCTCTTTGACTCTATCTGTCTTTTTTTCCCCAAAGCCCGGCGTCAACTTTTAGATTTCGGGGATCCTTTGGGCCCCTCCAAAACAAAACTGACCAATTTGATTGGCAAGCTCAGCCCCCCCCCCTCCAAAACGAACAGAAGCCCGGGCCCAGACACTTCTGGGGGTAGCTCGTCACTCCCCTGATCTCTTTGGATCCAAAGCACCAGACGGCCCGAGCTTTCAGACTTTCAGGCGGCGCTGCTGTGGACGGACTTCTTGGGCAATGACCACTTGGAGTTTGCCGCGGCTCCAAGCTGTGGACTACGGGACTACTCTCCTGCTTGACTGCTATTGGGTTGGATCTTTAGACTTTAGCTTTTTGGTTGAAATAGTGGTGTTTTCCACTAACCCCCCAAAAAGTTGAAAGCTTTTTGCAGGGGGGTCAACAGCAACCAAGCCTGTGAGGATCGCCAGTTGCAGCTTTTTTCCATGAACTTTGCCCAACAGTGACTGAGAAAAGCAGCGACTTGGCTATCTAAAACGTTAGCATCTTTCCCCCCATAGAACCCGAGAGACCACTTTGTTGGAAGTTTTTGGGGGGTCCTCTTCCGGGCTCCATGCTAGGTTGCGGTGGAGTGTTCTATGATTGGACACCGGGGACCGCCGAGTTAAACCTGCAGGTTTCGTTGTGGATATGCCAAGCTGGTCCCCGAACAGGTAGGCAAAGGACAATCTGGGCAGGTCAAACATCGCATTGTCCGGGCAAGAATGAATCCATGATGCCCAAAATCCAATGCAAGCCGGCCACTTGGAAAAGGATACCCCGGTTCTTTGGCTTCTCCCCCATCTACCAGCTCTGAACCGGGGGTGGGCAACTAGCATAGCTTCACCCTTTTCCCAGCATGTTTGTTCAGATAGTTTGGAACTAAGACGCTAAGATTCGGACTCCATTTGCCGACTCCCCGGCTCAGGTCTTAGAAGCGCAAGCCTTTACACCGGCCTTTCCTCAAACCGAACGAACTCAACGAGCGTCTAAAAAGAATGAGAGGGAGGATCCCATGTAACCAAAGGTCGCTTGGGTGCGTCTTTTTAAGGAGGAGAGCCAAAAGGAAACACACCAATTGGAAAAGGCGAGGCACTAAAACCGACGCACCCACTTGCATTTCTTCCAATTAGCCCCTTGAGCTTTTGGGGTGTCCTTTGTCCCCAAAGTCCAGCGCCCTCAATTGGCGGCCTTGGAGTGATCACATGAAGCACTCGAATTCGGGCCGGGCCGCCATTCTGGCTGTTCTTCCCGCTGTCCAACCGCGCGGTGTATCGCTGCCCCATAGACCTTGGATAAAGATGGGTAAAGCCTTGAGCAAGGGACGGATTTGGCCAAGCTGTAGTCTTCTTTACTATTTGTGGCAGGTTACACATCTAGGCGACTATTCCCAAATATAAATGAGCGCGGAGCCTGTATCAAGTTTTACTTGACTGTGTTCAATGTTGCAACGCCTGTCGCATTCGAGCTGTGGGATGTCCGAGGACACCATGAACCCAAGGTTCCAGGAGGCTTTGACAGCGCATCGCTCTTTCGTGTCACCTCCGGGCTGGTGTCAAGCGTGCTGAGGGACCCTTTGCAGACTGCCATAGGCTGGCCAACATGAAGCGATCCAAACTAGGTCCCCCGGTCGTGCCCCTTTACCCTTTTTTGGGGGAGGGTCCCCTACTAAAATAGACCACAGAAAAAGTTGGTACCCTTATTCTAACCTACTGGAGGACCTAGGTAAGCTGGTTAACATGAAGCTATCCAAAGAATCCCCCGCGCTTTTGACAACCCAAATTGCCCTGCAGAAACGGCTCCGTGCAAGCTTGCCTCAGCGAGCTTGTCTTTCAACAGGTTGTTTTTTGCTTGCGTGGCGACCTCGGCAGGTTGGTGTTTTGCTTTCGTTTGCGTTTTGATTTGCGCAGAATTTGCCGGCGCAAACCGATTCCTTGTCTTGCGTTCACAAGGCCACCCCTCTGTTGCTCGCAAAACCTTGTTCGAGGCATGAAGATCTTCCAGAGGGGCCGCTCGACTTTTGGCTCAGAAGTCCAGTGGCATTCCGTTGTCCGTGTTTTGTTTTTTGCCCTCATGGTGCCTCTTTGATATGTAAACCACTGCAAACACGTGTCATTCTTGCCCCATGGCCCAGTAGGCAAGTCAATGGAAGGGCATCACCGGGAATTTGTGTTAAAGGAACTTCCAACATTCCCTGCTTGTTCACTTGACCAACGGCGGATTATTGCTCATCACTGAGCCGTCGCCCTTTCAAAACGGAGTTTCGACATGGGATGATCTTCAGGGAAACCAACTAGCAGGGATACAGGGGGAACGGGATACGGGAGGATTCCCCCTAAATGCACCTAAGTTTGATATGGGAAATGGTGCCAAGTTGGAATCCCTCCATATCCAAATCCCCGCTCCCTCCGTATCCCCGCTTGTTCAGTGAAGGTTTTCAGGGTGGCGCAGGTCTACACCAACCTTCTGAAGTACTGGATTGCATATGCCGACATCGACGGCTTCCGCGTGTCGGCGCCTCAATCGTGCTTCCTGCTTCCGCTGGCTGTGCCCCGGTCGTGTTGTCATGGTTTATTGTGCCTTCACTAGTACTACAGCAGTAACAGCACAGCGGCGACGGCAGCGGCAGAATGACAGTGATGGGGTATTATGTTCTTTGACATGAGTCAATGAGAATCCGACAATCACAACAGATGCATTTACTTGTCTACCGTTGAACATGAGCTTGATGTAGTTTGTATAGGTCCTG